TTTCGTTTGCACTAGGGCACAAAATGGTATTTTGCTTTCATCTTAGTTTTAAATCACTGAGGGGTTAAGCACTCACATATGCACTTGATTATTACTATCCTTCTTTTGTCAACTGCCATTTACATCTTTTGTTACCATTAATCCATTTTGAATTAGTAATCAAGAGAATCTCTTTAACGGAAACAAAGCAACAATGACTGTCAGCCTGTATGTGTACTGACTCCAGTATCTTGTCATTTGGACAGTCCACTGATGGCTTCCCAGCAATTAAAAAAAAAAAAAATGATAGTGGCACATCCTGGAGAATAAAGGTTTCACATTTTAGAATGGAGGAAAAATGACCTTGTTAGTGATTCCTTCTTCAAGGTAAAGAGAGTTTCAACTGTCCTCTTGAAGTATGTTATCCTAGCTAATGAATCAGAAAGAACTCTGAGAAAGTGATGCATCTGCCAAAAAGTCTTTAAGGTGGCAAAAGATGCTTCTGAAAAAATGATTGAATGAAACCGACTCATGTATGCTGGATTCCTGCCTGATCCATGATAATTATTTAAGCAAAAACAAATAAAATAATGTCAGATAACATATGAGGAAATAAAGAACTTTAGGAATCTTTGATTCCTAAAAGGACTACCAATAATTCTATAGAGTCTATTTTTGAAGAGATAAATGAAAGCAAGAAGCAAAGTCTGACTATAGAGAAAACAATTCCCTGAAGAAATTTCTACTTTTTTATGTTTGAGAAGAGATTGAAATAGAATATCAAAGGTAGAGAAGTAATTAGGTTCTATTCTAATTTTATTAGCCTGAGTAACACAGCCAGGAGCATTGTCATAGAAAGGATATGGACAAAGACAAAAGGCACGTACTTTCTCCTATCCTAGAAACTAGGAGAAACCAGTGAAGGATTCCTCAAACAAAGTTTGGCCAGGAAGAAGACTTAAAATTGTTTGAAAACCTTTCCAATATGTCAAGGATTGATAATGACAACAGACAGACATCAGGTTGTTAAACGATAGCGTTTTTAAATAACTGGAGGTCCAGTCAAGTAAGACATGTTCATTAAGATCCAATTGGCATTTCGAGGAATAGAAAGTGAGGAACCAATTATGATGAATTTCCTTATCAATCTAACCTTTGATAACTAAAGGTTGAAAGGATATAAAAGAAAGTGAAAAATGAAGCTGGAAAAGAGACCTTGTAAAATTGATTTCACACATTACAACTCAAGGCCTGTGTGATTTATGTCCCAGGATATTTTTTAAAATGGTACCACTTCAAAACATGTTAAAGAGAATAGATGAGTCAGTACGGGGAACATATATTTATAAAAAGCAAACCTTGCCATTCTGCTTTTACAACAGATGCACTAGCAGTCCAAGTAGAAATGTTTGATACAATCTACCTTGATTCAAGAGCAAGGATACTTACCCATACCAGCTGCCCACACATTAACTAGAGAATGTATATAAAAGAGTCATTGCCAGTGTAAGAGAACAAAATGAATTAGCCAGTGCATTAACCAAGATTCTTGTGTATTTGTGGGAGGAGAGGAAAAATGGTCAATGCCTTAGAAATTTGATTCAGAATTCACAGTGACCTTGGAAAACTGAAGAACACAGGCCAACAAACACAAGCAAAGTGCAAGTAAAGTGA